CTGTTCAATGCCAGCTGACTGTATACAATTCTTATTGGCCACCATTGCAAGCACATCTGTTTTGTAAATATCAAATTAATGCTGCATTTTTTACTCAAAATATAATACTTTCAGCTTCTATGAACTTAAAGTGAACGTGTATTTCTAAAGAAATTCAGAATGTGACTATTTTCATCGTTGGTAGAATCTGGATTGACAAATCATGGCTCATCCCATAAACACAACTGTTTTTGTTTCACAAAGAAATCAAAAGTCCGGCATTTTCGACATGTTTTAATCCCACATCGGAAACTGACAACTTTCCCGACTGAGTCACGACCTTTGCAGTATTTTAACCCACATGGGTACCATCCGAGACAGATTTCAAACTGACACGTGCAGGGCTTCCACGCATTCGTCATATCGTGGCAGTGCGGCATCTTCTGTATCGTCAGCGGCTTTGTGGCACTCAACAGTGAATTATACGTGTAATTATTACCTAAAAGTAATGTGAAAATGAAATTTTAAAATCGTCAGCAGGAGAGCATATGGACAAAGAGTTAGTGATAATACAACATATAGCAGTAAGCTGACTGGTAATCAATATAGTTCCCATGAAATAACACTAAAGTTATCAGATACATGCATGTCACCTTTTGGCTGTCAGTTAGCATCTCTAATTAATAATAAACAACAGTTCTTTAACTTAATTTAAATATAAACCAAAAAAAAGGAATATACATCTTATTTTTTAAAATAGCAAAAGTTAAATGGATGAAAAATGATATTAATGCAGATGATACATTAAAAGCACCATATCTATTAATGCATTAACATAACTAAAAACCACTAATTTATTTATTATTTCTACCGCACCATATACCTAACACATGCCTGTGTATGTAATTCTCCTTCCCTAATTTTAAAACATTACCGAAACGGACCCTTAGTGATTCAATAGAATGAAAAGTCCGAAATTGAAAATAGGATTTTGATTTTCGTTGTTTATTTCAAAATCGTATTGTTGAAAACTAAATGTTGCCACCACAGGAATAACTTCGTGAATCACAGCTAAAATGTAGATTGTGAATACTGAAATTTCATCAATTTAAATTACCTCAAAAACAAAAATATTAAATTCCAGAAAATATTAGAAATTCACTTGGCCGTCATCAGCCACGAATCACATATTTTAACAATTTATGGAAATGATTTAAATTAGGGTAAATTATGAATTGTGAGGAACTTAACAGAAATTTAATACTTGTATTGTGTTACATATCTCATGTTATGTTTATAAATCTGTCAATGTATTTTCATACTACCTTATTAGGTAATGTGAATTCCAAATATGTTATATCCAAGATTGTGGGAGTGTTTCAAAACAAAATGCATATAATCTAATTTTCATAATACACTTCATAGACTAAACTATTGATCCAGAACAATGTATATTAAGGTTATTAAAATGCTATGGGGTTATTGTGAGAATACAGGAAAGTATGCACGAAGGCAGTACAGTGTTCACGGAAGTCAATGCGTTATTATACTGTCTGAGTGCATTTTGGAGATAACCTTATTATAAAACATCTTTTCCAAGGTTATACATGTACCAGGGTAATAATGATTTAATATGAGATAACAACCCGAGATGGCAACAAAGAATGTTTGCGTTCAGTCACAGGATTCTATTTCCACCATGTGCTGATAGCATTCCTGTGTCTGTAGTAAACAGAGGAAAATGTATGATTATGCGGAACATTCAAACGTGTTTGTAACACTTTCGGTTAGATCTGTAGATGTTTTACTTTCTTTGTGTATATTAAATATCTTTTCTCTGTATGACCGCTTCAGGCATTTATATCATGGAAACCGTATTGACAAACAATTCTCAATCAGAATGTTAGTTGCTGCACACATGCTGTGTTATTCACATACTCAATATAATATCAATTTGAAACATTTACATGCCTTTCGCAGCGAATTTAGCATTATTTTTTTATTTATCTGCATTTTCAATTAACAGAATGCTCTTTTATGACAATGATTCAGTTCACAATTTGCTAAATTAGCTGCATCTAAAGTTAGCAAAAATCCAGTGTAGCTGAATTAATTAAACATATTACTGTAAAATACTTTATTTTTGCTATATTCACTGAATTAATGATTCAATGAAAATAAAATCCAGTGAATATATCTATATTCCTATATTTTACATTTAACTCATCAAAAATTAATTCCAGTTAAAATAAAGTATTTCACAGTAGGTAAATATTTTAGAATATGCTTATATTTATATACATGTATGGCTACAGCCTTTTATTGGGCATAGTAAAATCAGTAGCATAGCCGCCCACGGATAAAAAGCAAAGTTACAATAAAAAAACCCAAATATTACAACATTGTCAACATAGGGAAACCAATCAAATCTGTGGGCACAATTTACATAGATATGAATAAGCCCCCCTAAGTTCCCAGCGATAAAATCTCTGGAATAATCAGTAGCACTTGACCCTGAGCGATAGAGTCAATGCCAGTTACTTTGTAAGTCACATATCCTGTCTATTTTGTGTCAAACATATTTCTTCTATTTTACAGTATAAACCTATTCTGTTTTTTTTCATTGATCATGAAAGTAAAAATCTTTGTTTTGTGGTGGGTCAAAAATACCAGGATGTGTGACCTCAAGTAGCTGATCATTTCTTCTTTTTGATAAACAAGTTTCAGGTTTGCTCGTTGCTAGGCTACCATGCATGTAATAGTCAATTGACCTTAACTAAAATGGCTGCCAAGATCTTGTTGAAAGTGACAGCCTCTGAAATTGTGTTTCATTTTCTCTTGTCATTGCATCAACTGTTCTGATTACCATGGTTACACCAAAAAACAGTTAACGCAATGACGGGTGATAAACACTATTTGTGTGGCATAAACAAAATCTTACAGCTCTCAACAAGATTTTATCAGCTGTTCTGATCACCATAGTTACACCAGGAAATAGTTAATGCAATGACCAGTGATAAACACTATTTGTGTGGCATAAACCAAATCTTGCAACTCTCAAGATTTCATCAGCCGTTTTTTTTATGGTATATTTTATGTCCAGTCATTACAAATATTTATCTCTGTGCTTGATTTTTTCTACATAACAGTGATTGTTATTGACAATTCAAGTTTGTTTGTATATTATATCAAACACAAATGTTTCATTCAAGCACAATATAGAGAAATGTTTATTTGTTCTAGGAAGTCTCTGAGAGAAGACTATCATAATAATCAATTAAAACTCAAATCAAAGAAATCATAATAATCAATTCCAACACATCACAGAATTGACCAATCCCAACACATCACAGAATTGACCAATCCCATCACATCACAGAATTGACCAATCCCAACACATCACAGAATTGACCAATCCCATCACAGAATTGACCAATCCCATCACATCACAGAATTGATCAATCCCAACACATCACAGAATTGACCAATCCCAACACATCACAGAATTGACCAATCCCAACACATCACAGAATTGACCAATCCCAACACATCACAGAATTGACCAATCCCAACACATCACAGAATTGACCAATCCCATCACATCACAGAATTGATCAATCCCAACACATTACAGAATTGACCAATCCCAACACATCACAGAATTGACCAATCCCATCACAGAATTGACCAATCCCAACACATCATAGAATTGACCAATCCCATCACATCACAGAATTGACCAATCCCAACACATCACAAAATTGACCAATCCCATCACATCACAGAATTGACCAATCCCAACACATCACAAAATTGACCAATCCCATCACATCACAGAATTGATCAATCCCAACACATCACAGAATTGACCAATCCCATCACAGAATTGACCAATCCCAGAACATCACAGAATTGACCAATCCCAGAACATCACAGAATTGACCAATCCCAACAAATCACAGAATTGACCAATCCCATCACATCACAGAATTGACCAATCCCAACACATCACAGAATTGACCAATCCCAACACATCACAGAATTGACCAATCCCAACACATCACAGAATTGACCAATCCCATCACATCACAGAATTGACCAATCCCAACACATCACAGAATTGACCAATCCCAACACATCACAGAATTGACCCATCACATCACAGAATTGACCAATCCTAACACATCACAGAATTGACCAATCCTAACACATCACATGCTTAGTAGCTTAGCAAACTAGTCTACTGACCTCGTACATCTACAAAGTATGTCACATTGATTTGAGATGCTGATATACAGCTGCCATTCAGGGAGTACACACATCAATAAAATAACATTCATAATATTATAAATAAATCTGATGATGTCATATTGTCTAAACAATGAATTGAAGGAAGTATAAACGTGCATCAAAGTATAAAAGAGTATGGGAGACACTCTGATATGAAGGGAGGGAGGGAGGAATGATAATTTTGGAGGGATGGTAGTGGAAATCAATATTTCAAGAAATGCAACTTCCTTCGTCTTAGTGTGTTTCTTCAAAACTGCAGTGTATTGGGAGATTGAATGCTTTTCTACTTAAAATGGTTGCACTTTTTGATGTATGTGTAATTTAAAATGAATGCCTTCATGATATTGAAGAATTGGTATATTGTTTAAATGTTTTATTTTACTAGTTTTGATAATCACATGTTCTAAAAAGTCTGACTACATGTAGTACAGGAATTTTGGAGCTCAAACCATCAATGTGTCCAAACTAAAGAAGACCACTTGAAAGTGAAAATCAACATTGCAATAGTTTTAATTATGTGTTTTGAGATTGCACTTGAAAAGGAATTAATAACTAGATCTGAAACTAGAAATACTTTATCAATGAAACCATACATGTATGGTGGAACTCCCATGGTACATCTCACTGAATGATGACATCACTTGCACTGAAATGCAATGAATGATGACATCACTTGCATTGGAACACAATAAATGATGAGGTAAGCTGCACCAACACACAACGATCGCAGTTAAATGCCATGATGACATCACTTGCATTGTATACAATGAATGATGACATCAATTGCACTGGAACACAATGAATGATGACATCACTTGCACTGGAACACAATGAATGATGACATCAAATACTTTCTCATCTACCGTAGTAATACTCTTTTTGTGAAATAATTCTGTTGTCTGTATAAGTGAGATGTACCATGGGAATACCACCATTACACATATTAATTCATTTATTAGAGTACAGATAGTTTCAGATCTAGAAATCATTTTTTTCTTTTCAGTTATACATTCTGTATGCAATCACCTACACACATGTGCTAACACCATTGTAGTATTGACCTCTAGTTTAATAACTCACTGATTACAACAACACCAACACCTGGGGGCAGTATTGAGTGTTTAGAGCTTGTATGATTTACGATATTGCCAAAATACTACCATCCTTCACTAGGGAAGACATCATGAGAAGTGTTATAATCTAAACTAATACCTTGCGATGTTAAATAGTGTGGATAAAGATAAGATGCTCTGTAACCTGGAGATGATGAAAGAGAAAGAGGCAAAATACACACATGGCCATTAGTAGTTAGTCAGTACATGTATACACTTATTATTAATATTCTAAATCAAAAGATAAGAAAGTATACCCAATATTTAATAAGGCCATTTTCTAGATTTATTATACATGTACTTGCAGTGTGCCTTCACACAACAAAGATAAAATAGACCATTTTCCGTTCACTGCGAGAATCACACGTTATGCGTGAAATCGAACGTAAAAACAGGACAAACAAAGGTCATAGCGTCGTAGTCACGTCAAACATCGCGTGGGATTCGACAAACGCGAAAGTATTTCGGGGACATTTCCATGCTTAATAATGTGCTGTCCACGTTTGATGATAGGCAATTTTGATTAAGTAAGGTTATTCGGAAGCAATATTCCTCTGTCGAAGATCGGCCGGTCAATGTAAGCTACGAAATAAAGAAATTCTAGTTCAAAATCAAATCGTTCGATTTTTGCGGCAGACGTTCGACGCGTGTCTTTCATGCATCTCGCGAGATCTCGCAATTGTACAGAAAATCACCTATTTGAATGTTAGAACAAGTGAAGATACGTTTTGGAATGAGTGTTCACTCATCTTTTTACAGAATGGCTAATTCTATTGATTTCGGTCAGTGCTAGATCTATAATAAAATTGTTTACATTTGATTTTAGAAAAACTTTATTACAATTTGGCTCTGTGTCAGACCTTGTGTAGTCTTGCTTGCATTCAGAAACAGATCACCAAGTTTGCCTCACATGATCAGAAATAGCACTACAACTACATGTTCTGGAGGGCACACCGCATAATGAAATTTGCAGCTCAATTTTCAATTATTAATTTTGAACATTAAAAACACAATAACGCATTTGGAAATCACAACAAATTATGTCATTAAATAAATATTAACTTTAAAATCATGCGGCAAAAGAGGTTTAAAAGTTATTTAAAATCTACTCCTAAATCAGATTCAACTATAAACTTTCAGAAAATATATACTTTGTAGGTAAAGAGTGTGGAGCAATGAGTATAACAGTTAGACATCACAGTTATCACATATTTCATATGGATCACATGTAGTGTTCCCCATGAGTAAATTTAAATGTTTTGTTGTCCCTTAAAAAACAAACAAACTTGAATTGGGTGGATTTGAAGAATACATGAAAGTAAGCAGAAATGTTTTGTTTTTTTTCAGATTGCCAAATTTCACGGAGAAAAGTATACCAAAAACAAAGATTTGAGAGAAGATTTGTTTTTGCACAAAATTCAAATATGACAATTGTGATGTTTCGATATGAAGAGAGATGTGATTCCAATCAAATTGGAGAATATATATAATTAATATAATTAAGACAAGGTTGGCTTTTCGCTGGTTCAACTCAGTAAATTTCATGTGGCAAGCAGTGATATAACATATGTACATGTAGGTACAAATGAGTTTAGCTGATCCAACTGTATTCCAACCACCAAATTATCTGAATTACCGGGTAAAGCAAACGTATACCTATGGCAAGTGTCTGAAGTATTAGTTGACATCTACATAAAAACCTCATTTCATACCGAAAGTCAATTAAAAACTTTATTTTGTAATTCAACAAATTGTTATTTCATTCATTACTAATTTATTTCAAAATCGACACTCAAACAAATGCACACATCATAGACATTTTACAACTTTTGCAACAATTTTTCTGGTGGCTGGTTTACAGTTTAGACATCAACTGAACTCGATGTTCCCAAAGAGTCTGTATGTTGCATTTATACATATACATAACATTGTCAAAAATGATAATATGTGTAGATATCAAAAGTCTGCGGCATACCTTTCGATAGAGCTCGGATATCACTTTCTCTGATGTATGTTGAATCTTGTGCCTCCATGCATGTATTGTAAATATGTTTGCTGAATTTTGATGATTCTTTTAAATCAATCTGAAGATCCATAAATATATGTTCTTGTCCTTTGTCCTCTTCTGGATTACGAATAGTCCCAGGGTTTTTCTGTTCATGTAATGTAATTGTATTAATGTGACTGAATAATTCAATGTTGGGCAAAGATATAGGGTTGGCATGCAAACTCTATGCAAGGTTGGCTTACTGGAAACATACTGTAAAATCTGTATTAAAAGCCGAGGCTTCCATTAAAATGATACAATGCAACAGAGGAAATACGGCATCTATTAGAGCATCTACATGTACACTCACATATGAGAAATCGTGAATTTTTGGGTCTCAATTGTTCAAAAAGAATGGGTGCGGCTTCTAATACAGATTTTACAGTAATACTTTTATTTTCTTACTTCTACCACTGCACTTTTAGCATCATACTTGTACAAGACATTCCTTTTGTTCCAGTAAGCTTACCTTATGCATTAGTAATGAATATCAATTACCTGTCTTAGTTTGGACATAGCATCTGATGATATAAATTCAGATTTGGTAAATTTTGTAATAAAACACATAACTTGGTATTGGCTTTGACCCCTTTCTTCTTCTCCCAATACAAGGGCTTTAAATATCTGCACTTCCTGTGTGAGAAAACAAGTTAATCAACAAATGCACTTTTATCAGAATCAAGACTTATCTAGTAATTGAGAAGATGCAACAGGAGGACAAACACTCAATACAGAGACATTTTTAACAATAACAAGGGAATTTTTTAAACAAGAGAACGGGCGCAGTGCCCTCATGCCATGGCACCCCTTACCCAGGGGAGCAGATCCTCTGGCAACCAAAAAATTCTGATTGACCATGGATCACATGTGACCATAGTCTTCAATTGTGATCTGTCTGACAGTAATTTTGGCCCCAAGGAGCCATAGAATGCTTCATTTTAACTTAGAATTATCAAAAACTCCACACCCTGGTAAGGAGAACCCTATCTCCCCCACTTGGTGGCGCCGCTGAATTGCAATTTCTAGAAAAAAGCCTGAATAACTATAAGCCAGTACTGAACAATTCACTTGTTGCAAATCTGGATATCTTATTTTTTATACAAATGTGCCAATAGCTTATACCACTCACCTACCGGATTCGGCCGATAGCCCGCCCATCCTAAACCTCGCCCATTGGCGATGTTTCAAATAGTGGACAATGTTTTGGTTCACACATTGCCTGACTGAACCAACAAACATTTTTACAGACCCCAATTTATCCGTCCAAAATCTTGCATCGAGCGCACTATTTCAAATATGACGCTAAAAATAATTCACTGTGAAGTCGAAACACGTAAAAATCCAATAAATCCAATGCTGTATACGAATTATTGTTGCATGAAAAATGGTATACGTTTGTATTTTATGCAAGTATTTATCACCAATTTCAAGAGTAAAAGTCGGACCAGTATTATGGCTTGTGAATACATTTCACTTTAATACGTTTATTACACTCAAATAAAGTCTGCGCTTGGAATGAATGCTATTTACGAAGTTTGAAATACCCAAGCCTTCCTGATTCGAGCCTCTTGGTTGATTTGACAACGGTAGGTATCGTTAATGTTTAATCTTTGTCTGTATCGCATTCCTGACAAAAAGACATTGGTAAACAGGAAATTGGCGAACTAAAATGTCTCCTGCGTTTCACATGCGACATGATTATTAAAAAACACAGAGTTAAGCGGTCGTGTACGTTCTAAAAATCTAACCTTGCACAGATAATCTTGTATCGTGTTGTTTTGTCCAAAAAAGACGTTCTCTTTCAGTAAACTCTTCGCGTTCGTAGTATTTGTGAGAGTTGAACGATTTTTTGAACAAATGATAAGTAACTATATTAATTTGTGTGAAGCTGGGTGACCCGAATTTAAATATCAGTGCGTGAACTCTGGAGGTCATTGCCCAATGCCGCACGCAATTCAAACACATGGTTAGCTGAGTTCAGTCAAAATATACGTGAATAATGTGATCGAAGTGCGCTGCCCAGAGTTTATTATATTACATATTCACTTCATTTCGAATAAAATAATTCACCATTGGAACATCGATGAATCACAAGACACCTGACTACTGTGATTTAAATGCGCCCATGTTTATGTTTGCGTAATTATTACGAGTGCAACACACTATAAAGTCGGTAATATAAAAATAACTTGAGTTTGTGTAATTATTATGAAAGCATTACAAAGTTGAAAAATTCAGAGCCGGTACAATATTGTAAACAAATTTGCGTAATTAGAAAAGCAGCACACTAACTTGAAATAAACGATGTTGATATACTAGTATTCAAAGCCAGTACAAAGTTGCAGACAAGTTATATGATTACAGTATCGTCGGATATAATAACAATTTTACTATTTTTTACCGACGCGCAGAGCATGGAAGAAAAAGGTTCCTATGGTAACGCGCCAGTTCAGTGCGTAACTTGGGGTCAAACTTCGGTCACGGTCAACACACATTTCGCGCAACAAGTTTCGCAAAGAAGTACTTGAAGTTCAATTGCACCCAAAATGATTTCGCTGATTACTCGGTTGTCACAGCCTGTGATGTGTCATGATGCACCCCGTTTCGACTTTGGCTTGCTTTTTCTTCTTGTTCACGTAAAATGCGATCTCTCACCAATGTATTAAAACACTTTGAATTTATACTTTGCATGATTATATTTGGTCAATGTGAAACATTATTTTTTCTAAACATTTTCTGAGACCATTTTATCAGTGCAGGGTTATTTTTCCGGACAAGATGGGCTTTGTAATATCTGCCATAACATCGCCCGGGCGATCTTTTGGTCCACATTTTTCTAAAAAAAAATCAAATCCTCCATAAGATCGCCCAGGGCCGAATCCGGTAGTATTTTAATAAAATTGAATTCTTATGTCCCAAATTGTACAGGTAAGCGTTTTACCCCTGTGTTTCGTCCACCGCTCTGTCATATTAATATATTTAAATATTCTCCACTTGTGAGATACATGAATAATGCCAATAATTTATTGCCGACTGGTGCAGAACTTTGGTTGGAGGTGTGGCCTGTTCAGAATTTGTCAACAACCATTCATGAGGCTGGTTACGAACCACATCAAGGTTACAACTTGGTTAGCCTTGCTCAACTGGTTCGTAACCAGTCTTGTGATTGGTTCTTCGTCTCCAACTGTGCCGTGCGTTTGGACCAACCGTTAGTTCTTTAGAAATGGAGTCAATTTGTGTAGTTTTCTTGTTTATTCTGCAGATATAGGTAAAATATAGGTAAAGCTTTGGCAAAATTTGAAAGAGCAACTAATATTCTTCAACCTGGTATTTTTATAGATTTTATTTTTCGTTCTGTTCGTCTGGTTTTTCCAGTTTAAAAAATATGAGCTCGCTGGAGCCTTCATTCCTTGTCTATTTCTTACACTAGATACCAGCCGATACCCCCCCCCCCCTCGGTTGATTATAGTACCTATGCTCCCAGGCCTAGGGTCATATTAGCCCTGAGTACAGTCCTGTAGGTTGGCCGTGGCTTCCTTCCGCTGATCATTCGGCCCCCCCACAGTCCTGAGAAGTCGCATAGACCGGGGATTCAACACTATTGTGAAGGAATGTATCGGCAATTTAAGAGGCATTCAGCTTTGCAGTTAAAAATTAAGCAGGTCGATACGTCCAACTATTCTAAATACCCTAACTGGAAGCGAAATTACTTAAGAGTTCCCACTAGGGTCGATCAAATCGACATTTTCCAACGTCAACCAAAAATATATGCCGCCATCTTGTTCTTGACGTATTTATTAACAAAACGTTGTTCCGTTGCGTAAAACTAGCTTTTGCCAACGTTCTAGTTCTAGTATACTGTAAAATGACTAATTTTCACTGGGTTTAAATTTCACTGATTTACCATTTCAGGCATATTCAGTAGGTTTTAAATTCACGGTTTCGTCATTTAGATAATGTGTTCTATGCTAAATTGTACATATTCACTGTGTTTTAATTTAGCGCATTTTTCCAGTCAGCGAAATAAGCTAAATTAAAACCCAGTGAATAATTACCCCCTTTACAGTAGCTGCAGTTCCGTAGGGCTATAATTCCACAGCTAGTTCTAGTAATGTAGGTTCATTTTTCGGACACAAAAAAAAGTATTTGTGATCGCTAGATTGGTCGATAGATATTTTAGCTGGTTACAATCATGAACACTGCAGAACGGTTCTCCGCCATAAATTTGTAGGAGAGTGTCAAATCCTCGGTCTATGCGACTTCTCAGGACTGTGGGGACCGAAGGATCAGCGGAAGAAGGCCAACCTACAAGACTGTACTCAGGGCTAGGATCATATAGACTTTCTTAAATGCAAATTAATAATTTCCCTCTCTTATTCGGGTTTCTCGGTTGCCCCGGTTATTCCAAATGGTTTATAATACATACCGATTTAAAATCAATAAGCAATGATATCAATGTCCCGTCAGGTTTCTGAAACTGTAAATGGATAAGATCCTGTGCAACGTCAGCTTGGATGCTTTCTTGGATCAAATCACCGCCTTTGTTTTTTACGTTCACGGTCAGCTGAGCTGAACTCAGTGTCATGAAACTGGCCAACACAAAAAACGAAACCTCCATTTCAACTTTTCTTCTCGTTGCTGTAATTCTAACGGAAGATGTCGCCAGGCAAACCGGGAAATTATGAATTCTTTGAAAAGAAGGCCAAAAACTACTTTCTGATCGCCATTTTGAAAACTACCTAGTGTTCAACGCAAGAGGGCGTAGTCAACACGGAAACGAGAACAACAAACACACCGGAAGACGACACAACATCAGGTGACCCACCGTTATTTGAGTCACTCACAAAGTACTGATCAACGCGTAGATACTCTTCTATACTGATCGAGGTAAGATAGCAACATTTACCTTATTGCATAACAGCTTCTTTGTTGATAGCTGTTTTTTTTTTTAAGGATTATATGGCCGTCCCTTAATTCTTGGGTAAATATCCATGAAGGGATGCCAACTTGACCAAGTCACTTTCAGTTTCACTTTTCAGAACTTCTCAGTTATGAATTTTACAATTAATTTTTAATAACTACATGATATGATCAAATATTTCACGGTAAGTTCAGACGAGTATGGTTATAATTCATATTTGAAGCACAATGTTATTACGGCTGTGAATTAATATGGCAGATGTCAAGATGGTGTATATTATGGGATGTACTGTAAAATACTTTATTTTAGCTGGAATTAATTTTTGCCGAAAAAGCCCTTTTGGGTGTTTTGTATGGAATTTATTTTCACTGATTTTTGACGAGTTGAATGTAAAATATCGGAAAAAAGGTATATGCGCGTCGGTCGATACTGCCACTGTACTGTCTTCGTGTATAATTTGAGGTATTCTCGTAATAACCTCATAGTATTAACAATTTGTAGAATGAGGCTATGCAATGAGATCACTTGGAATCAAAGAAGTCACGCGAATTGCAAGATGATCACAAACACGTACATGAGTGGCTATGTGAAAGAACTGGCTAGTAATTTTTTTGGACTATTTCTGCTAGTTCACAAAGCATGTATCATGTGTTTTCTGTTTTTGAATATATAAAAATAATGTTTACATAATCCAAGTGTTCACTTTTGGGATTTCATTGGTTAATCAATTGACATGTGTATGAACATTAATCTTAAGAACATTAATCTTTTATCACTAAAAGTTGCCTTATCTTAGAATCTCTGGACGTGGTTATTTCACTGAAATATTCTTTTTATCTTTTTAACGTGGTAGGGTGAGAATTAAATATGAAACAAATGTTGTTTTGTTGTTAATAAGATGAATATTGTGTAAGAAGCATCTGCTGAACCAAAGAAATATTAATTAATTTAATTAACAGATTGTCATGTCAGTTGTACAATTTCTTTCTCAGCGACATGGAAAGCAAATATTAATATGTATATGAGTAGTATAAATGATAACAATTATAATACAGAAGATTGGAAACTTTATTCATAAAAAGAAATGAAAACCCTATGTTACATAACTTGATGATTCCAAATTATCTTATTGTATAGTTATAACTATTAATATCAACTAATAAACTCATCGTATTTCTAAGGATGCAATAACATTTCTATTATTTTTTTATTGATCTGTACATTGAGAATTTCCTTCAAAATGTGATAGATTTCATATATGTTGGTGTTGCTTATAATTTTCAATCAAAGTTATTAATATAAGTATAAAATACATTGTGATCCTGACGATGAACGCATTAATTTAATAGACCATGACTAAGAAATAAACTGCTACAGCAGTAGTGTTTCTCGAGTCCTGGTATTCCTGACTGTGAAGGTAATTTTTTTGTTATTATACATGTAATATACCAACTTCATTTTAAATGTAATACTGGGACATAAAAATAACTTGAAAAGTAGCAAAAACCATGTGTAAATGTGATAAAGCATCTGAAACATTCTACTTGCAACCGTGCACATTAAAATGAAATGGGTCGAGAACTAATAAAGCGATTAGATACATCAAGCTGTGGTGTAAATTCTCACCCATAGTTTTCCTGTTAGCATTGATATATGTAAAATTGATGTATGTTAGTACACTCGCCAGTTAGTGCTATTAAACTGCTATACTTCTCATTTTGTTTTGAGGATCAACAAAATTAGATTCATGGGTGAGTCACAGCAGATGGCAATGATTATTTTTGAGAACACTCTAATAATGTTTTTGCTGATTTCAGTTGACAGCAGAATTTACCCCTTCTGTGTAATTTGACATTTAGGGCCTACTTCGAAACATGAAAAACCATGGTAACCTTACCATCTTTTTAACTATGGCTTGCATAATTAAAAACACTTTCTTGCCCAATCACAATGACGTGTTCAGGCAATTAAAATGCTGGTGTAACATGATAGACATGAATTCATTCATTTATGATGTTTTCTATGCAATATTGTGGAGATCTTGGGAAACTTGAAAAGTACATTGTACACCATCTGAGAAACTCAATTCACAAAGGAATTAATGTGGTAACTTTTGTTTGTTTGTTTTGTTTATAGTTTGCATAAGATGTCGCAGCCACCACACAACCCTGACTTTCCACCACCTTACAGTGCTAATCCTCCCCATGGACAGGCTGCATATCCCCAGGCAGGATACCCACAGGGACAGGTGGCATATCCCCAGGGCGGATATCCCCAGGGTGGATATGCCCAGGGACAAGTGGCATATCCCCAGGGTGGATATCCCCAAGGTGGATATGCCCAGGGACAGGTGGCATATCCCCAAGGTGGATATCCCAAAGGTGGATATCCCCAAGGACAGGCACACCTCCAGGGGCAGGCTGGATACCCACAAGGGGGATATCCTGCTCAACGACCTGCTCATCATACAACGATAATTCAAACAAATCAGGTAACATTATTTTATAGAAAACTTTGTTTTAAAAAATGATAATACTCCCAAAAACAAGCCTTTCAAATACAGAGTCTGTAAACAATGTTGCGTAAACAATTTTTTCATGGAAAATCTTGATCACCAAACAGAAAAATTTCAAATATACCGGTAATATGAGTTCATACATAATTTATACAACTTATATGAAATCAAAAATAGCAATTCAATGACTAAAATTTTACTTTCATTAGTATTTTATGTATTGAATTTTATAACTAACATTTTATTGCTGTCAACCGATAAGGATACAATAAATTTATTATTATTAATAACCATAAATCTCCATGAAGTCAATGCAGACAGAAGTACCCTAGGTTATTACCACACATGCATGTATGGTCGATAATTTGTACCTTTTACTGTTCACCTACTTTTTGTCATGTCATATTTTTAGATTTTTTTCATGGGAAATAGTGAAACCCGTGCATAGCTGCATCCACCAACCTCATAACAGCTACATTTGTTAAAACTTAATTCCATATTCAGGTTTTTGTTTAGAAACAAACTGCAAGAGGGAGTACTGCATTTAAGCGGTGCTGCCAAAATAGGGTTCTCCCTACCAGGGTGTGGAGTTTTTGATAATTCTAAGTTAAAATGGAGCATTCTATGGCTTCCTTGGGGCCAAAATTACTACCAGACAGGTCACGGTTGAAGACTGTGGGCACTTGTATTCCTGGTCATTCAGAATTTTATGGTTGCCATAGGATCTGCTTCCATGCGGGCGCTGTGCCCCTGTTCCCTTGTTTAAAAAAATCCCTAATATTTTTGGCAATTTAAATAATGGATTCCAATAATAGAATATATTTTCATTGTATGTGTATACTTCATTTGCAGCCCGTTGTTGTGAGGCCATCCAGTGGTTCATCTAAAGTAAGTAAATTACTTGCATACATATACATCCACAGTCTGAATGTCTTTCAACTACACCAGGCCATCTTTTTTGAAAATGGCCAATACAACTGAATTCTGCCATCTGTGATATACACTGTACCATACAGATAAGTTTGAAAATGATTAGATTCTGTAAAATACTGTAAAATGACTAATTTTCACTGGGTTTAAATTTCACTGATTTACCATTTCAGGCATATTCAGTGGGTTTTAAATTCACGGTTTCGTCATTAAGATAATGTGTTCTATGCTAAATTTTACATATTCACTGTGTTTTAATTTAGCGCATTTTTCCAGTCAGCGAAATAAGCTAAATTAAAACCCAGTGAATAATTACCCCTTTACAGTACTTTATTTTAGCATGAATTAATATTTGCTGGAAAGGCTGTTGGGTTTTTACTATGGAGTTTATTTTTGATGAGTTGAAAATAAAATATAGGGAAAAAGATGTATTCACTTGATTTTATTTTCACTGAATCATTCGTTCAGTGAAAATAATTTTTTTTTTTCGATTACTTTTCAGTCGTCAGCTGGTGGTCTGCTAAGTTCATTAAGCAAAGGAGCAGGAAAATTAGCCAAAGGGGCGTATGATACGGTCACTCATGAAGTGGATATCCATGCAAGCAGTGCAACATTGGTAAGTCACATGACATGATTTTACATTTTTACATATCTAGATATACAGTTGTATATTCCCTAGATTTAAAATTAATATTAAAATATTGACTCCCAAGATTAAATATGCAATGGGTGTCTGTCTGTATGTATGGGTATGTGTGTATTTATCACATAGATGTTCTGCGATAGTGCACAGACCTGATTTTTTTTTTTGAAATCCATGCGTTATCTGTACAGTATTTTCACTACTTAAATAGTGTGACACTGTGTATTTTAACTTTTTTGCTTGAAGCTCAAATGCTCACATATTTCAATGATTTTGCATGCAATAAATAAAATATTTACTTTATGTGTATTGGAGTTCTAATATTATACATTTTTGTCTGTCATCTAATTGCTATAAATTACAGTGTGCGAATTTCAAAATATGGAACGATTATACATGTAACCGTCCGCTAAATAAAAAAAAAAAAACATGGCTGCCCCCCAGGATTTGACTGGACCCACACAAAGAAGTTCACTAAATCTGTTCTAAATGGTTTGGATTTTGGCATTTCCATGATGTATTCCTAAGAGGAAAAGATGTATAATAATAAGGATACTGAAAAGTATGCACTCAGACAGTACGCCGTCATATTTTTCCTTATTTATACTTTATGCCTCTAATACCCTAAGTACATGAGAGTTCTTTCTAAAAATTCTTTGATTTTGTATTTTATTTAGAAAAAGTTCTCTACTGGGAATGTAGTTGAGTTGACATCTCGTGTGACAAGTAATGGACTTCGTATTTTACCCAATAGTCAAGTAGATGCCAGGGCAAGTCCCAATGAACCTTGTGGTAAGCATTGCACAGGAGCCACTGTGGTGACCATGTCCGTATGTGTGTGTGTACAAGGCATACATCTACTAGGTGTTTTGTTCATATGGAAATTGTACAATATTATTATACATCTTAAGCATACTGTAGTGTATGGGGTATCTGCATTCATACCTTATTAGGAAATGTGAATTCCAAATATGGAACAATTTCATGGTGTTTTCACAGGATGGACATTTTTGAAAACAAGGCTCATAGTTCATACAATTATTAAAGCTATTAGGTGATTTATTAACAATTTTTTCATTTTAAAAAAATGAGCATTCTCTTGATTTGTAATATTTTCTGAAAGCTAAATACCATAGAAGTTACTACATTATTTTTACTTGTAATTTATTTTGTTCTAATTTCATTGTAAAAAGTATCACTATTATAGTCTCAAATTGGTGGCAATATGTGGCTGTAACTGTAAATATATTGACAACTTTAAAAATAAATTATTATTTTTTAAGTACAGATGAAAACTGATAGTAAAACTGTAAGTGTCTCTGTCTGCTTCTCATGTGTATGAATTCTTCATGTTAAAAATAAAAACTGCAGATGACAATAGATGAATGTGTGAGTACATGTATGTCTGAATAAACCAAATATCTCTCTTTATTGTAGCTCATTTCACCTGTATTAATGAAGGACATAATATTGTAATATTGCGTAATATTGCCAACCCAGCATTTCATCTGACAATTACCAGTAACCATGTATCAGGAAGGGTAAGTACTAATTTGAATAAATAAATTACATAAATTTTGGATAAATAAAAAAAAAATAATTTAGTTTTTCACAGAGGCATTTCTCGGCCATGATGGCAACTAAATCTCAACCTGTAAATTCATCAAATCCTTACAGAGTAAACCGGTCATCCATAAAAACATTAAATAGCAGTGGCAAATATGAAAAGATAAATAAACTGACTGGCTGCTTAATTAATTTTCAGTGATGAAATTAAAAACAACAATCAGTTTAGGTTGATGAATTTAAAAAGCAGATTGAACTCACTATGGATATCCACCCTGTATAATTTGGGGGAAGCCTGGGGCTGGAAGGTACACTGGTAAATGTTGGAACTGTTATCTAGGAAATACCACACTTCTAACATTGAACATTGATGTCGTATATTGGCGATCCGCTTTGCTAGGATTGCCTTTATAATCACTTTTGTCGTTTTGTGTGTGTGTGTTGGTGTGTCTGTGTGTGTGATTTCCAGTGATTTCACGTATGGTTTCTTCTGTGATTTTTTTGGCTTGGCCAATTTCTATCAAACTTGGCAGGTAGGTCACACCTTCACCCTAGTTATTAGGAAAAATGTGAAAAAAATGTTTGGCTCACAGTTGCCATAGCAAATTTAGGATAAAACACTTCAGACATAGCTCATTCTACTCAACTTGAGTGTGGGCACAAAGTTACTATTTGATATCTTTTTTCATTACCGAGATATTTGACCCCAAAGTTGGGGTAACTTTTCACCAGCAACGGCTTTTAACTTCTCTGTGATTTTTTCGGCTCGGCTGATTTTGTTCATACTTCTCAGGTAGGTCGTCACTAATTGGAAAAAAATCCTGGCCCAGCACTGCCATTGGCATCGGTGTCGCTGGGTGTATATGATAAAGGGAAGTTGTGCAACCAAATTTGCCATTGTTACACTGTATCAACGTAATCCCAACGCAACTTTGAATGAACTGTAAATGCTGCCTTCATTCTAGAAAATGTATGGAAATAATAAATGTAACAGCAGAATACGTCCTAGTAATAAACTAAGTGACTTCTAACGACTGAATGTTTTTTGCAAACTTTGTATTTGGGCCCATTTAGTTATAAACCGACGTTAGCTTCACGTTTATGACACACTATGGAAACAACCAAAAATATGTTGCTTGTTTTTAAGCGGAGCGGATCGCCAACCAGCCTACCGGCTTGTTATAACTGTCTGTCACTTTCATAACATTCTATGTGATCAGAGTATAGAGACAATACACAATCATATCATATTCATTGCACCTAATTATAATTCACCATCCTCTGTTTATATTATATTAGGGAACTGGTGGCTTTCCATGTAAATTTCGAATTCACGAAACACTGAAGGGGTTTGTAACCTTGGAGTCTTTACAAAGTCCTGGTCAGCATATTGGTGTAACGGCTGATGGCACTATGAAAGCAGCCAATCTTGTTGGTAAAGATAATGATGCTCAGTTCAGTGTCAGACTTGTGGTAAGTATTCATCAACAATTTGGTTTGGCCTAGTTTTCTGCTGATTCTGTGATCTACAAAGTATATCTGTGCTGATGTCATGACCAACATAGTATGTTTTCTATTCTTGTTCCCAGCATTGCTGGTGACCTGGCCATTATGATATAATATCTATTCTGGTTCCCTGGTCAACATGTATAATATCTATTCTGGTTCCCTGGCCAACATAGTATGTTTGTTTTCTATGTTTTTTCCCAGCTTTGCTGGTGACCTGGCCAACATGGTATAATATCTATTCTAGTTCCCTGGCCAACATAGTATGTTTTTTATGTTTGTTTCTTGGCTCACAGTCCTTTGCCAGCATTGCTGTTGAACTGGCCAACATGATATAATATATACTCTGGATCCCTGGCTAACTTGGTATAACATCTACTCTGCTTTCCTGGCCAACATGGTATAATATCTATTCTGGTTTCCTGGCCAACACGGTATAATATCTATTATGGTTTCCTGGCCAACATGGTATAATATCTATTCTGGTTTCCTGGCCAACATGGTATAATATCTATTCTGGTTTCCTGGCCAACACGGTATAATATCTATTATGGTTTCCTGGCCAACACGGTATAATATCTATTCTGGTTTCCTGGCCAACATGGTATAATATCTATTCTAGTTCTCTGGCCAACATGGTATAATATCTATTCTGGTTTCCTGGCCAACACAGTATAATATCTATTATGGTTTCCTGGCCAACACGGTATAATATCTATTTTGATTTCCTGGCCAACATGGTATAATATCTATTTTGGTTTCCTGGCCAACATGGTATAATATCTATTCTGGTTTCCTGGCCAACATGGTACATGTATACCGGTAATATCTATTCTGGTTCCCTGGCCAACACGGTATAATATCTATTCTGGTTTCCTGGCCAACATGGTACATGTATACCGG